TATAAAGGGTCACTAGGACCCCGAGTATGAGCTCTTCACATGTTCTTCTTGTTTATTTCCTACCTTTAAATTATCAATAAAACCTACCTTTACGCTCTTTAAGATTTATCTTAAGAAACCCAAGAATTGTCTTTCCTCCCACGAGAGAAAACTATTTCTCATCCCATGTCCAACGATTAAGTCCCAAGCAAGGGCTTAAGAAGATTAGAGGAATAGGCGCGATAAGATAGAAGTCGAGAGGACTAGACTATCAGTATGGCGTAGGCATAGACCTAAGAACTATTACCTCACTACAAGTTAAGAACTGTTACCTGTCGCACCCCAACCCCGGTAGGATTCTTAACACTGCACCTGCCTCTTGTATGCTTCTCAATGAGAGTATTGTAGATACAAGAGACTCATGTCTCTGCATCCTGCTGAGTTGTTCAAGTTGCCTACTATTTTGTGACTGCCATGGCAAGTCCTCTTCCAGAAATACCTATTCCCATTTCCTATTAGTGAATTATCATTATAAAGCTAATTCAGAGTGAATATACCCCCTTCAACACCTTCCAAATATTCTCGAACTGCAACTAATGTTCCCTTATCATTGAGCATGCTTTGTGATTTTGCATGCTTGCCTCTTTGACTTGATTCAATTACTCGAGTTTGAATCCAAGTCTTTTTCCCAGTGAATAATGCTCATGGCCGCATGCTTACTGCGGCCCCAACCAATAGCTGTATTCGAAGCTGCCATCTTTCTTGGAAGCTCAGGATATTTTAACTGCTAGTTCATGAACTGCAGGACTTGATAATATCTTTCTAGATCCTGAATACCATTTGACCTTTTTCTTTTAAGGCTTAAAGCCTTGCGTAAATCCATTACTCCTAATATTTAATAATAATTAACTCAATTCAACAATAATTAATTTAATATACACAATTATTGAAAACTATACCTTTTTTCAACACAACAGCTCTTATTTCCTTCTTTACCCTAGGCCACTTCTCTTCCACCAGGTTATTAATATCTTCCCACTCATGAATTGTGTTTCTCTCAACAACTGCTTGGACCAAGCACTGTTTTTCTTGCTCCTTTTTCTTGTGTCACCAAAGGGTACTCTTTGATGGCTGCCTCTTTCTATCCAATTTAGCTGCCTGCGAGTATCACCAAACTTATTAGAAAAATTCTTTTTTATAAATATTTTAAATTGGTTTTAACAACTTACTGATTGGTCTCCCTTAGGAGTTACTTTGCCCACCAGCGCCACTGTCTCCTCTTCCTCCTCTTCTATACCTGGCTTCTGTGCCTCCCCTACATGTATACTAGGTGTTGCCTGACCAGCTTCTTGTATTGGTGATTTAGGCATACATGCTACCTTACCTGGACGTCCTCCCTGAGAGCTGGCTTGACGCTTCCTCCTATTTGCGTGGCTGAGGCGTGCCATTTTGGTTTTAACTGATAGGTGCTCTTGATTAAATCACAGGTGAGTAAGCTGCATTTAACCAGATGGTTGTGTATTTCTTTAGTTACTCTACCGCCAATTCACTATAGTGTCCTTTATTTTCTTTCCATAATTTTTCTTTTTCTATTACATAATCATCCCCTCTACCCTTTTTCTCTCTATGTTTTTTTCAGCATGCTCTATGTAGAATTGGTCCTTAGTTTCACTCTCACCAAAATTTCCGCACTTTGATCTTGAATTACCTCTCATAGAATTGTTTAATTCTAAAATAAAAACCACCAGCTTCTTCTGCCCAGCATTGTCTACCTCCCTGTGGTTTTTTTTCCTTCAATTTCGGTGTTACTGTTGACTAATTACACATCGCGTTTGCCACTTTTGAGGTCCCGGTTTGATTCAATTTGCACTATACGAGTGCGGTACAGCACGTAAGCGCGCAAGCAAGGCACGCGTTCCCATCCGCACCCCCCCCCCCGTTTCATCATCCATCCACAAGTGAGTAGCTCCAGTCAGGGTCGGGCCGAGTGCTAGTGCTAGTGCAGTTCTATACTCGAGTACCGTACTGAACGTTTTTTTCCCGTTTTTTTCTTCTCCCTTCTTCCCCCATTGCGGAAACATTTTAAAAAAAGGGTCCAGTATCATGTGGTATAGTACCGGTATTTGTCGTGCAAAATGCGGTGCCTGTGTCATAATATTATGATACAATGCCGGTACCGTACCCAAGTATGATACCGTGTTGTACCTTCCCCTCTGGCAAAAGGGTTAGGGCTCGTAAATCATCTCTGATATTACGCAAGGATACGGATATCATATGATAAGTGAATGTTCTACCGGTATTGGAGTGCCGTACCGTAACAACAACCCTCCAACGTCAGGACAGGACATTCACCTGACAGTGCTCAAACAAGTGCTGAAATCAAACCGGTACCGGTGTCATACCGCCGTAGAGACAGAGTGTATGATACTGTATCGTGCCCTAATACCACATTACAGCATGCTCCCAGTCCGAACCTACCGTACCCCACGCCCACACCCAGGTACCGTACCTGCAGGTAAAGTCAGGTACGGTTTCCCGGTGCCGGTTTATCAGACAAATTTTGCTTTCCTTTCATGGGTGTCATACAGTACAGTACAGTACAGTACTAAGTACCGTACCGGGACACCAAACGATTCGGCCTGCAAGATAACGGTTATGATAATACTGTAAGTTATCCCAGTACCCGTAGTTTCAAGTAAACAACAAAAAAGTGAGAGGAAAGCCAGGATTTGAACATGGCTCAGATTTACGCGTTTTTAATTTTTTTTCTTCCCCGTTTTATAAAAGGGATTAGTTGAGAACGTGGTTATGGTATACGGTGGCTTGGATAGACCTGGAACTTGTGGTATCGTACGGCCATGCGAGTGTGATCCTACCGGTATGTTACATACGGTACAGTGTATTAGTATCGTGGACCCGGTACCGAGTCGCTAGAGGTCATCGTACCCCAGGGTACAGGTGCTATACCGGTACTCGAGTAGATTTCTCGAATATAGCACCGCAGCTATCCATACTGTGTTGGAGTTTTTCTATTTTTATATATGTGGTAGGTAAGTATCAAGTTGTCTGCTGAGCTACTCTGCTCCACTCTGCTCTGCTCAGCTCGAATATGGTATGGTACGGCAGGGGCGGACAGAAACTTTTCTTGACTGACTACTAATTAACCGTCGTCGAGCAGGATTATCAAAGCGTAATGCGGTAGTCTACTCGTATACCGTACTCCGGATATCATGCAAGACAAGCACAACCCCGCAACACCAGAATAACGCAACGACTTTGCAATGGGAAAAGAAGAATGGATCCGTCGAACCGAATAATAATAATCAGTTCTCCCTTTCCTTTCCTTTCCTTTCCTTTCCTAGTGTGGCGCAATCAATCTCACCCCACTACCGGTATCCTACCGTGTACTGTACAAGAGTACGGCAAGAAACTCTACTGTACCCGATTCCTCATCATAATCATCACTCGATGCACGCATTTCTCCCTCGGCCTCCAAATCCGCAAGTATGGTACGGATGCTCCTCCGCTGTGATGGTACAAGTGTGCCGGTATACGAGTGCGTACATTACCGGTACCGACCGCTACGCCTGGCCCCGTCATCGCCATCACCCGATATCTGCCCTCCTGCCATCCATCACACCACCACTACTCGTACTCTGAACACGATGGAACAAATCGGTTGCTCGCATTTGAGATGGTGCTGACCCCGCCTTTCGCTGATTGGCTGCGTGGGACCTCAACTCGCTCGTTGCCCTATCCCATGGCGTCCCGGCCCCACCCTTATGGTGACCTGCCAAGAGGGTGCCCACGCGAGAAATTTTAAACCTGAATCAAGGGAAAAAAGAGAGAGAGAGCCTGACTGGTGTTGGTGCCAAGCATGCGCCGTGGAAACATGTTCTGGAGACCATTTCTCGGTCTCCTCTCTCACTTCCATCCGTGTGTCGCAGTCAAATTTACGGCAAACTATGGGTGCTCCGAGCAAAAGGTACCGGTATTGGAATATCTACTTGCAGAGGGAAAAATTTTTGAAAAAAAACTAAAAAAAACTCATAAGTTACCGCAACTAAGCTAAGCGAAACAATAATAACCAACGCCTATGCTATGGCACGGTAATGTCCATCACACTATAGTTTGTATACAATGTCTCCGCCAGTGAACCTAACAATTGTTAGCAAGGTTCGTTTGAGAGGAAAGGGGGAAAAAAAAGGACACTCGTTCCAGGGGGCACAAACATTATCTTGTTCCCGTCATTCATCTTCTCGAGGGCAGCCTCAGCCTCTTCCCTCGAAAACCTCTGCTCCTGGCCTACGCTATTGTTAATCTCGACGAGCAAAGGGCCAACTTCGGCAGCGTCATCCTGGAATACCGGTGCATTGAGCAGCCCAGCGAGTGCTCTCTGAAATACCAGTACCCTTGCGGGCGATATGGCCTCGGGCTGTGACTCCGCGGCGGCCGACGGCCCGGCAGAGCTGGAAGCTTGGCCGGACTCGGTTTGCGATTGCAAGGCCGAGGAGGCACGGTGGGAGGATGCCCAGGAATCTTGAGATTCGTCCTGGGTAGGCGCGCTTCGCCCCGACCTCCGTGCGAGCCTCGACGAAGCCGGGGCAGAGTACAAGTCGTCGTCGTCATCGTCATCCGCCCCTGCATCCATCTCGTCGTCATCAGCCCCGCCATTGGTGGCCTGAGTCCTGTTCCTGGCCGATGCTCGAGTGCGGCGGGAAGATGTACGGGCCCTTGGCTGCGATTCCTCCTCTTCATCGTCGTCATCGTCATCGCTCGAGTCAACATCCATCTCCGCGCTTCCAACCCTTCTCCTCTTCTTGCGCTCTTCCCGAACAATTTCCTTGAACAAGGCGAATCTCAAGATTTCCTCTGCCGCAACGGCGTCCCTCTCCTCCACACGGTTTGAAAGCCTTGCCTTTGCATGGGCAGTCGCCAAACGGATCAGGGTTTCCAGAGTACGGGCAGTCATGGGAGACGTCCTCCTCTGGCTTCCCTCAAGCTCGTCGTTTCTTAGGGCGGAATAGGTGGCCACAATAATGTCTGCAGCGCCTTTCGACAAAACAGGCTTTATACGAGTCTTAGCGTACTGAATATACTTCTTCACAAAGCCCATACTGAGGACTTCCACCCTCCTGGCATTTCCACGCCCGGTAGTGATTGTGACACCCGCATGCAAAAGTACATCGTACTTCTCGTAAACCTCAGTGGGCCTCCCAGACTCTGCATTATCCTCTTCAAGACCAACGCCCAACAGCTGACCGGGATTTTCCCTGACGGGCGCTCCTTCTTCGGTCCCCGGTCTACGATACCTGTGCATCCTCAAAACGTGCTCGGATACCTGACGATCCCTGAAATCCTCAATGTCATCCGTAACGACAAACAGCAGATCGAAACGGGATAGCAGGGAATCCGGTAAAGCAATGTTACGATGAGGATCCTTGTGAGGATCATATTGGCCATATATCGGATTTGCCGCAGCAATGACACTGCACCTGGCATTGAGCGAGGTATGGATACCCGCCTTGGCAATCGTAACTGTTTGCTGTTCCATAACTTCGTGAATAGCCACTCTGTCGATATCGCTCATCTTGTCAAACTCGTCGATACAGACCACACCGCGATCGGCGAGAACCATAGCACCGGCTTCCAGCCGCCTCTCGCCCGTCTCCTTATCTGAAGTCACAGCTGCAGTCAAACCCACGCCGGAAGACCCACGACCAGTGGTTGCAATCGCCAAGGGTGCGGTGTTGAGCACGAATCGGAGAAGTTGGGATTTGGCAGTCGAGGGGTCGCCAACCATGAGAATATTGATGTCACTAGTATCATCAGTATTCGGAGGGCAAAAGAGGAACTCCATCGCTCTTGCTCACCCTCTCAAATGAGTCCCGTTATCCAAGTTCTTCTCCATGCCCCCCAATAGCATCAATAAGATGGCTTTCTTGATATGGTCGTGGCCATAGATACTTGGGGCCAGTGACTGCGATAGCAACTCAAAGATATTCTTCTTTTTGGCAATCTTGTTGATATTTCTGATATCAGTATCAGTAATGGTTGCCTGTGCAATACCACCTCCAGCCTTGGAAGACAGTAAGATCACGTTGTTTGCGATGAGCAAGGTCCGGAATGTCGAGCTGCCTTGTCCGGCATTTCGATTCCCCAATGACCGGTAGAGCCCCACCAACTGAATACGATCACCTGGCTTGACTCGATCCACGAGGTCATCGTCCATGATCACATCTACGCTTCGGGGAAGCTGCCCGGCAGGAGCGCGTTCAGGCATTTCCTGTATAGAGATGGTCTGATGATCCCGGTAGACCGAATAGCCATACTCTGTGATGAGTGGATTTCCCTGGTCATCTTCAGTGGGGTAAACCTAAAGGGGGGGGAAAATTAGCCCGGAATATTCGGTTTGGACAAGGTCATCCCCACGCTTGTAGTCGCTGGCCCATTGACAGTCATAGTCTGGTCCTTGTATGTACGTCCGACAAACACCTTCTTGTTCTCATTGTAGTGCACACTCTTGACCACTTTCGGTCTCACCAAGGAACACCGGGTGACCTAAATCACCCCGGGTCAGCATTGACCCTACATTCACGTTTCGAAGGGGGAAAAAGGGGGCGATAGTGACTTACAATCCCCTCCAACGAAATCATATGATTCAAATGTTTCGAACTCAAAGTTCTAGGATTGACCGCATACTCCCCAAAACTGCCGGTCAAGGCACAGTAGAAAAGCTGTATCCCTCCAATCAGCGCAATCCCTCCCTACCCGCTCTTAATCCAATCCAATCCAATAAACAACCTACCGTATCATCGGTAATCTCCTCATGCCTCGCCCGATCCCTCAAAGTCGAAGCAACCTCGGTCAAAGCCCGATCCAGCGTCGGCAAATAATCAAACGGAGTATTCAGTAACCCATCTGCAAGTTCCCTATTATGATTGCGTATCTCGTCAAGATTGACCTGTAAGCGTCGTTGGCCACGATTAAGCATCAACCTGTATAATTGCGCCTCCCGATCAGTTCACTTGCACTCTCCTCCTCCGGGAAGGCGGGATCAGTATACTTTATCGCATCAGTATAACTTCGCTGGTCCTCATCATTTGGATCCAGGAATTCGCTGAACTGGCGGACCCGATCTGTTTTATCCTTAGAGCCCTGTTCTTGTAGGTAGAGGCGGAGCTCAGAGCTTACCCTTGAAAACCTGGTCGGTGATAGGATCTCTCTCCATGGTGGGTGAGTGCGTTGTCCTATGTGTAGTGGGGTTGTTTGTTTATCGGAGGAGGATGAGAAGGACAACAGCCAGAAACTGCAGGCTAAGAGGGGTTTTCGTTAAAGGGGAGAGCTCGGAGGAGGAGCAATTGGTAAACGTGATGGAATGTATGATGCGGAGAGAGTGTGTGTATGGTTGTCAAAAGAAAAAACGCAGTGGGTATCTATCTAATCGATTGAGGGAAACAGCAAAAGAGGGGTTATGATCTTTTCTCGTGGACGCGTAAAGTGGTGCTGCTTGGGGAGAGGAAGGCTTGGTTTCGGGGGAGAAAAACAGAAAAGGGTCCCCCTGCTTGGAACAACAGAGTGCCGGAGGCGTTACGCGGTCAAGTCGCGTTTCTCCAGAGGTGATTGGCTTGGCAGGGGACTGCACCTCATGAAACAAACGTCAAACAATGATATCGTATGATATCATACCAAATAGTCCCCATCACAAACAACAAGCTCCAATACATCCGTCATACTCCAAGTTTCAATCAGCCACAGTTAATCTCCACCACAATCTCTCCAAAACCTGAAGCACGCACAGTCCCCGAACCACCCTATTCACCCACACACCGAGCACTCGCAAACGCCCACCAGCCGCACTCTTGAGGGAGGGCCATCACTACTGTACTAGTACAGCTCAGCTACCGCAATGAAGGTCCTGAACCCCCGAACAGCCTTCCTCAGCGACTACGAGGTCCTAAAACACCTGACAGAGACGAAAGCCCGGTACATAGCGCTCGGCCAATCCCAAGGCACAGCTCACGCCATGAAATCCAGCAATCTAGAAACCATAATGAAAGAAGTCCTACCCCCCCCCCCTCCTCTCCTCCCTCTTCCCCCTCTCCGTTCCCCTTCTAACAGCTTTTCATTTTCATTTTTTTTAGCACAGGTAAGGGACTACCTCCAGACCACCCCAGCCGCAACCCAATCCGAAGAAGCGATATCAAACTTCATGCACGAGATCTCAACCTTTGCGCTGGAGAAGGCGGAGTTGCTCATGATGGTGAATTGCCGGCCGAGTAGTATCGCCGAGCTGGACTGCATCGTGGAGGAGATGGATCAGAGATTCTCCGAGGAGGAGTCTGCTGAGATGCTGAGGGTTGTCAAGAGGAATTTGCCGCCCGGGCCGAAGGAGGGGGATGTTATTGGGAGTGGGTGATTAGTATGAGATTGTTTTGGTCGGGTGGTCCCGGGGGGGGAGGCGGGGGTTGGCTTGTCAAACCTCGCTGTCCCGGAATTCGAGAATACGGATACCTCGCTGTCCCGTACGAAATTCTCCGAATTCAAAAAAAAATTCACACCAAAGCTTGACCCGTTGTCCCAGACAGTTCGGATTTTGGTCGCCTGAGATAGCGAGGTGCGGCTGCACTTAATGGCTATGGCTTTGCGTGATATGATATGGTACGATCGTGCTGAGGCACTTGGCGGCTTTGTATGACATGATATGGTACGAGTGGTATTGGGATTACGAGTCACGTATACGCATTCTGCGATGAGTCTGTAATAGGGTCAAGTCCTTTAAATTTTGATGTGTATGTACAAATTCAGGTATTACTACCAGTGTCTTCGCGGAAAACCTAGCTTTCCACGGAACGGGGAAAAATATCCATCTCATCCCAGCACATTCAAAGACCGAGTGACCAATTATGACTACCACCTCGGCTTATGCCCAAACTGCTCTTCAACTTTCTCGGGTGGATCCTTCTGCGGGCCTTTCTCCTCCTCCCCCTCCTCCCCCTCCCCCGCAACTACCACTGTTTGGGCCTCCTGCGCCTCTACCGCAGCCCGCTCCTCAGCCTCCCTCTGCTGTAGCATTTCCACAATCCCCAGGGCAGGATACTCCTTCTTTTCCATCTCTTCGATCACCTCCTCAAACCTCCAATCCCTCAACTCCCAACACCTCGTCGCGAGCGCTTTATACAACCCTGCGCTCGGCTTGAAACCCATATTCTTCATCTCCTCCAAATAGGCGAATGCATCATTGATAACCTCCTGGGCAGCGCACACCAGCACGAGGCTCTCGTACGTCTCCCCCCTAGGCTTGATCCCCATCTCCTGCATTTCCGTCACTACCCACATGGCGAACTTCTTCCTCCCCTGTTTCGCCGCGCCCCGGAGCAGCCAGTCAAACGTTTGCAGGTTCGGGCGTAGGTCGAAATCGGGGATCTCCTTGTAGACATTGAAAGCGGACTTGACGTCCGAGATTCGGACGAACGCAGCAATGATGGTGTTTAGGGCTGCAATGTGGACAGAGTTCTTGGGCTTGCGTTGAGCGAGGAGAATTTCGTATGCTGCCTCGATTTCGCGCGGGGAGTTGTTTTGGGTCAGCTTGTTGACTATGATGCGGGTTGTGTTTGGCTTTGGCGGCACGTTGGCAGATTCCATGATGTTTAGGATTGAGAATGCCGTGGGGAGGTCGTGGGCTACCAGGTAGGTTTCCAGCAGGGCGGCGAAATGGTGCTCTTCGAATTCGAACTTGCGGTTCACGAGGACGCGGAAGACGTCCGTTGCGAGCTTTGCGCTGCCATGGCGGGCGGCGACGTTCAAAGTCAGTATGCAAATGCCGTCGTCCGGGTTGAAGAGTTGGTGGTCATTCGCTTGGAACCAGGACCACATTGTGCAGTCAAGCTGCAATAGAAATGCATGTCATCAATCATCTGCTCTTCCATCATTGATGCCATTGGTATAGGGTTGACAACTACTTACATGCATCTGCTTGGTCCCCACAACCAACAAATTATGCACCACCTTCGCCGGCGCCCTCCAGAACCCTTCATCATTCAACGTCTTGGTGATCCTTAGCGCTTCCTCCGCTTCCCCGACAGCGCAAAGCCTGTGAATAGCATGCTCATATGTACTCCGATGCACAACCAAGCCCTTCCCCCTCCGCTCTTCAATGATCCCCAACGCAAGCTCCAGGTTTCCCCCCATTAGATACCCAGCGATAACCCATTGCCACCCATCTTCCGATACCATCTGCCAATTATTCTTCATCTCCTTGAGCACCTCCGTGCGCTTGAGATAGTCCGGGGACGTAGCCAGCAGCTTGAGTAGATGGTGATATATCTCACTATTTGGCTGGATGCCTCGACCCTTCATCTCCCCCACCAGCTCGAAGGCCAGATCCTGCATTAGACATCCCGGGAAATTGGAACATGCATAGACGAGCGCTGCGTAGAGTTCCCGATCCGGCTCGTATCCAGACTCCACGAGGGCCGTGGCCTCATCGAAGACCTCCGGGAACGCACCGCGGTGTGCTAGGTCCCTAACTTTCTCTATGCCACCCAGCGCTGGCCGGCCGTGTCGGATGAACGGGCGCTCCTTCCGGTCAAAATTGATTGGCTTGTTCCATGATGGGCCTTGGGAATTTACCATTCGGATTCTTGGCGCAGAGGGGACCTCGCCAGCATCCTCGGCCGGGGGGAGGGGGCCTTGAGGCTCCGGCGGCGGGGTTTGTGGTGCCAGCTCAGGCACTGGATCGATGGATTGGGGGGTTGGAAGGGTGATTGAGAGGCATCTTACCGATGCGGGAGTGGACAGGTTTCGAGGGTGGAATTGGACTACCGCGGACCTGCTGGAGAGCAGGCTATTGAGTTGTGGACACAGACAACGATACAGGCCGTCGATTATATGACGCCCCGGTGCCATGTTGGTTTGAAGTGAAATTTCGATCGAGCTGGGGGATGTTAGGATACGAGGCCGCTCGAAGCAATTGGCTCATCAGGGCATAGGGCTGGAGCAGCATGGGAGACATCTGCCTTTTTCTGCCTCTAGGCACAGTACCGGTATCATACAGTACCGCACCGGATCACCACAGAAAGGTTACAACGCAGATTCCGCTACCCCAATACGTTTCGGATATCGGTTAGGATTCCCGATACTTGATCGCCAATAGAAATCATACAACAAATATTTGATCAGACAACTTTCAGCTGAGTTATTTGTCTATCTACCCACTACCGCAGGTCATCTGAAACCTGCCTCTCACTGGCCCCCTCTGCTTATCTCACAGGAGAAGCCTCCATCCACTCAACTCAACTCTTCCATCACACCCAAAGAGGAAAAAAAAAAGGTATGTGCCTTTGTAACCATAAAACGCCGAAACGACAAAGATATATGACCTCCAAAAAAAAAAAAGGACGAGACATTACAAGGGCATATGGTATTTTTGATAGTAAAGAGAACGATGAAGAGAGCCCTGAGGGGGAATTTGTCGCAGGCGATGCAAATGCTAGGCATGATTCGTAAACCATGACTGCGGACGGGGTAATTAAAAAAAAAAATTAGAAAAGCAAGGTATCGTATGGAATCGCTGGACCCCTTAAAAAATATCAAAACTCCCAAATACACCATACTTCAAAGAGAAGAGAGGAATCATAAAAAGGGAATAATAATATAAAAAAAGCAAGATGAAATAGTGCTCAACGCCAGGTAATATGCTCGGGTTTTCTAAGGAATAGACACTGGTAGGTCAACCAAAGTGTCATCAACGAACGAGCCCAGCTCGGACAACCGGGGAAACGTCGTCTTGGTGAACTGTTTGGAAGGTGAGGATTCCGCCCCAGTTGGACATGATGGCCTTTTGGCTTTTGGAGTAGTCCTGGAGTGCCGCTTCATCTCATTGATTGAAAACTGGATCAGCTCGGCTGTGCAAATCCCGGCAATGGAAAAGCCCACATCTCCAAGGATGAGCCGTTCGGTAACGCTCAGCATTCTCGGTGAGAATCTATCGCCACAAATGTCACAGGCCCACATCTTGGATGATAACGACTATTTCCTCATGTCAGCACGATGCACCGACCAATTTTTTTTCTATTTTTATTTTTCCGGAAATGCACATTTCTCATGGATTGGGGGGGGGGGGGGAACGAACGGTATCTTCCAGAAATTTCAGTGCAATGCACAAAGCAGCTACAGCAAGAACCTCACATCGCTCGGTAGATCCCTCTGCTGCATAATATTCCTGTCTCCACCGACGCACAAACTGGCCAGACAAACAATCCAAGATGCAGCTCGCCAGACCCACAACTTCCATAGTAACATTGGCCCGTTGTAGGATAGACTGTAGCAGGTGTGTCGAGGGAGCTTCGCGGGATGCATTCTTCGGCAACATACTGCAAAGGTAACTTGCAGGGCCTGCCACTTGGATGTTAGGACGAAAACAGAGAGTGGAATGACGTATGTCAAAGGGAAAAGGATTTGGGACCCACCATAAAGCTCCGGACTCAAGGCATCCTCAAAATTGAGTCCTGCCAGTGGCTCTGGAGAGTACGGATCGGAGAGCGGTGGTGTCGGGAAGCTTGAAAGCGGCAAATACCTTTCGAATTCTTCGTAAGAGTACTCCATCTCCGAGGGTGACCCCGGCGAATTTGTCAAGGTGGGTGTGGGGATATGAGAATCCATGGTGTGTGGTGCTCCTTCCTTCTGAACTTGTGAGCTTCGTAACCGCTTGCTGTCGTGTGCTCCCTCCCCCTCTCCCTCCCCACCAAAGGGGAATGATGGGGTATCCGGGGTTACGAGCCCCAACTTAAATACTGTCGGCAGGCAGGGCACAGACTGAGATACAATATTCATGTCGGAAGCTGTGGTTGGCAGCTTGGAAGGTGGTAGAGCGGCGCAGGGAGCAGACAATTGAGGGAGAGAGTTGTCGAAGGCTCGAGATGAGGAAGAGGGCCCAGCTGTAGAAGTAGGTGAGGATAGAAGGCGAGGCGGCAGGGTTAGCACCAAAGATTGTGTGCTTCTCCTCGGCATATTTTAAGTCCGCAGTAGTAGTAGCAGCAATGACCGTGTTGTATGTGTCTGTGAATATGTACCTATGGACATGTATGTGTATGGTGTGCCGTGCGTTGAAGGTAGCTCGGTGGGAACAAGTGAGTGGGGGAGTTGAAGCCTCCGTCTACAGTAGGAGTTGACGGGCGAAGAGGGCGGGAGGTTTGTGCGGTTTAATATTTTTTTTCCGCTCCGCAGGTTTGTGGCCGAGGCAAGGAATAGGTATTTTTGTACCAATACACCGACAAGAGGGAGGAAGGCGGTAGCGGCCCTGCCAACTTTCTTCTTCTCTTGGGCAAGTTACTGAATTGAATACCGAATCCAACGCGGGCAATGGAATTTTGACTCTTTTGTATATTTCGTCTTCCACAATTAATATATAGAGGGGGGGGGGGGTAGGAACCACGGATACAAATTGAGGTGGGAGAGGGAAGAGGAGGTCGAGATAGATATTTATACAGGCAGACGGCACACCCAGAGCAGGCAAGCCACCTCCAGGGCGAGCGAGTGAGAGTGTGAGTGGCAGCAGGTCACCCCTGCCAGAGTTAGGGCAGGCTGGAAGGAAGAAGGGAAGGTGCGAGTTTGCGGTTGTGAGCGAGGAAGAGGAAGAAAAGAAAAGAAGAAAAAAAAGGACCGATTCAGACTGGCTCGAACCTGGGGCCGGACCAGAGGGAGCCAAAGACTCTATCGTGGGCTACCGTAAAGCCAAAAGGGCCACCTTCCTGGGAGAGGTCGGGTCCTGCCACTGCAGTTTTCCCCTTTTCGTCTGTCGGGTCACTTTTCTCTCGCCTGTCAGCACAACACCGCCGGGCCTAACAAGAATCCCGGTTGGAACTTGGAGGCGGTAGCCAGAAGTGGTACTTGTAGTATACCTGTAGCACTCGTATCGCACAGCGCCTCAAGTGCATAGGATCAGTGCTGTGCTCGAGTACGGGGATGGAACGTGCACACGCACACACTCTCTCGAAAAGAAGGTTAACGAGGGCACCGAAACAGTGCAATTATTCCGTGTTCAACCGCTTCCAAATCCTTCCTCCTTCAGCATCGCGCAGCACCGATGTTTCTCTCAAAAGAGCACCGCTGTTGTGCTGTATTCGTGCGACACTGCACACGCTACTGCCACCCCCTGCTCGCAGTGTTGCGGAAAGATGTGAATCAATTGCTTTCCGGGTCCCGTCTCGCTCGGCAAGGAAAATTAAAATGATAATAATAAAAGGTCGGGGGTGGCCAGAGAGCGAACTCGCAGGAAAGATGCAGATTCTCAGATCCCGCTTTCTCGCGCACCGCTTGGACCTGGTATATTCGTTGGACCGTCCGCCTTTTCTCTCTCTGCCCCTCTCGCTCTCTCTCGTCGTCCCCTCCTCTCTGGCAGGGGAGAGGTTCGGGGAAGGGAATGGACGGAAAAGGAATGCTTGTAGGAAGCGAGGAGGAGCGGAAGAAAGGAGGAAAATAGGGGGAAAAAGCAGGGACGAGACGGGTGAGATTGTTCCGTCACAAGTACCGCCACACACGATGCCAATACCGTACTGGTACGGGGGTGGAAGTCCTTAAGAGATAAAAATAAAAATAGAAAGAGAAAAAAAGGGGACAAATACAGACCAAGCTCTTTTATGTAAGAAGAAGAAGGTAAAAGTGCTCAGTGTTGTCGATGCTTTCCTTCGAGGTACTCTTCCACGGTGCTGGGGTACCATGCGATTGGAATTGCGATGTTGAAAATCAGGCGAGTGTACCAATGATACCAGTATGATACTATGATTGCTCGAGTGGTCCATTCAGTACCGTTAGGGGACGAGGATGCTCAGGCACAACGGAGCGGACAAGCAAGCAAGCCTCCTGTCCCACCCCTCCGACGGCGATGGAAGTGGAAGTATCGCGGGAATTGGGCACAATGGGAAGGACAGCCAAAGAGCTGGGCTTCCCTATACCCCACAAGTCACGGGCGGGCACTACCGGTATATCATCATACTGGTATCATACAGTACTCGCACTCGAGTGCAAAAAAGACCATCACTACTCGTAGACTACCGACTAACTGTTGCCGAATATGATACCCGGCTCACCCACCAGCTGCCTACAACACCGACACAGTCCGTGATATTGTAGAGTACGGTATGGTTCTCCATAACAGTTGTAGAGCACTGGTACTCTCTCTCTCTCAGTGCTGGCACCGACCGGTACGGTACGGTAGACTACTCGAGTACGGTACTGTACCCTGCAGCACACCACCACCGAAACCCACTCGCTCACAAAAAAAGAAAGGAAAAGCCACCCTTCTTCATGCTTCCCTGACCTCACTCGCTCCCCTCCCTCCCTTCCATCGCCATCGACACCGAGACACCCAAAACTCTCCCTGGATCAAAACATATGCCCAGTTGCGCACGCGACAATTTACCGGTACCCACCCATCCCTCCATCCGCCCGTCCGTCCACCCATCCACCGTCATCCCTAGATTAATTAAATACCGGTGTCGCCAGTGACGTTGCCCAGCGATGCAGCGAGTAGAATAAAAACCGGTAAACAATTACTCGTGCGCGTGCCAGGAATGGATGGATAGGTTACTGTAAATAAATAGAAAAAGGAGATCGGCTCCTCACTCCTTTCATCCCCACGATTTATTTTTTTCTCTCCGGGCGATTCCGCCGCCCGGGTGCGGCTGAGGAGGGTTACAGTACTCGAGTACAGGGCTGGCAAGCGATGGGGGGCATCCGTCTGGGCTGGTACTGGTACTCGAGTACAGTACTAGTACAGTAAGAGGTGGTCCGCAGTTTTGGTTAAAACGCTGGTACGGCACGATACATACCGGTATAATAGGGTGACATAGGGTGATATAGGGTGAGTTTACTCGAACCATGGAGAGGGAAGGGGGAAAGGATGAGCTGGATGGGCTGAGGATTATTCTAGATCTGGTGATGTGATGTGCTGTGCTGTGCTCTATGGTATTCTACTCTACTCAGCATTCAAATGGTGCAGTGAACTTCCGTTGTTGGGGTGAATGCACCCGTACCGGTACTGGTACTCGAGCAACGCAGTCGATACCATACTGTACAAGTACCAAGGAAACGATCGGGCGCGGGAAGGGATCGAGGGCTGGCTGTGCTCGACGAATCGAGAGAGGGAGGGAACGCAATGTTGTATGCGGGTGGGTTGTACGATGCTAACAAACGCGGATGTGGTATTACTGTGCTTGGCTGGATGTCATTACTGTGCTGCTCAGTGCGGATTTCAGTCCAATTTCTTCTTGCACGAGTTACTGCCGGCTGCGGCCTGCACAAGGAGTTCACCAGAGTAGAGTAAATTCCCTACCGGGCTACCTTACACTCCTTCTCACAGCGATCATTACCCCCACCCCTCCCCTCCCATGTCGGATCACAGCCTTTCGTCCCACATACCTCGCCATCATACCTACGAGTACAGTGGACTACCGGTACGTTTGATACCCCTCCCCAAGTTTTACCGGTCCAGACCAAACTACACGTGTAAACTTAACCCCACCCCCCTACCGAGGTTCCCATCTCTTTCTTTCACGACAAGTTCACAACCCTCACCGTGAGTTAGCATCGTCCTCCAAACAATCAACTAAACCCCGAGCACAATACCAGCGCAGCACAATAGCAATCCCAACACCACAACTGCCCCCCCCTCCCCCGAAAAAAAAGAAAAGAAAAAAAAAACCCCTCAGATGCTACGAGTACTAGTACGATATCCCGTCGTCCGACCCGCTCACAAACTCACGCAAACTACGACACCCGTACTCGAGTACGGTACACATGCACTACAAAGTATTCAAAAATCTTGGCAGAGCTACCGTATGCCTAACAAACGCCACGACTTCCGAGCACTTCTGCAATGCGCTGGTAACCGTACCGGTACTGGCACACTGCCATACGAGTGCCGGTGCCCGTAGAAGTGTCTGGCGAAGACTAAGACATATACTTGGAGATTACCGTCCCGCGAGCGCTGGGGGTGGGGTTTCTATTAGTGGATGGGAATGCCGTGGGTTTGCGGAGTACTATAATGATGGCGTGCGGTACAGCAGTGTGGTTCACGCGTAATCACTCACTCACGCTCTCACTTACGGTATCATACTCGCTGCAGTGGTGTGTTGGTGCAGTACGAAGTGAGAGGGGATCGGGGTTTTCGATGAGCTGTTTGCTGTCCCCCTGGCCGGTTTGCGGATGGAGGGTGTGGGGTGCCGTGGAGGAGGGTTGCGTACTGTAGGGCTGCGATGTGTTGGTGGGGGCGGGGAATTGGTTGATTGCCCGACTGATTAAAAGTGAGGCCCTGTTTTGGCATCATACTGGTATAATATCGCATGGTACGTATGGTAATTTAAGCACTGCCGGTACAGTACCCTGTACTACCGTCTGACAAAGGAGATCAATTTCGAGGGTATGGGAAGGAACGGCAGGTCAGAGTTTGTTCGCGCACTGTTCTGGAGCTGAAAAGGACAAGGAAGAGGGAAAAAAAAGGCTCAAGCTTTATTTATCGGTATCGGCTCTCGTATCAAGTTGGCCAAACTCTCCCTTCCTGTAACAAGGTACTGGTACGGTATCGCACGATCACCTACGGCGATGACAGTAGCAGCAAACCACCATAATGATCGTGGACTGCTGTAGAAAGGTGTTCTATCTATGGTGCGATGATGCGATATGTGGTATACAGCAAGAGAAAGAGGGGGCCTCTCTGTAAAAAAAAAAGAGCCGGGGGAAGGGAGGGCAAAGCAGGGCAGAATAAATCAATCATGAGAATTGATCATGCATCCCGTGTGCCCTTCTATTTTCCTCATGCCTCTCCTCCTCCTTTCTCTCCCGCATCTCAATCATTTTCTCCTCCATCTCCAGCCGCAACTGCTTCTTCCGTTCGTAAACGGCCCTGACGGTCCTCTTCAGCTTCTCAGCCCCTTCCTGGAAATTAGCTTTTGCCAGCGCCACTGTTTGCTCGATTTGTTCTGGTGTCCACTTTTTTTGGTTTTTCTCGTTTTGGCACAGCCACGTTTGCGATCAGCTCCATGGTATGATATTTCCGTGAAATGGGGTGCTCTGCAGTACGTGAACTGGGGGGGGGGGGTTGAGGAGGCTCACCTCAAAACTCCAGGTGGAAAGGTAAGGACATATCTCAGGGTCAACACCTGGCACTCTCTCGTTCGGGATTAATGGAAAGTAGACAACCGTTATCCCTGTGAATTTGTTTGCTCGGTGGGTCCCGTTTCGTCAGCCTTATGAGAAAGCTTGTGTGAAGAGCGCAAGAGAAACAGCGATAGCGGAACATGGTGTTTTTGTTTCCCAGCACTACATTACAAGTACCGGTACGGGCGAATTCTGGGTTTCTTTGAGTCATACACGCACATCTGTGCCGACGGACGGACTGGGTGCAAGTGTGGATAGGAAGAAGCAAGCAAAAAAAAAAAGGGTTAAGCCACGTTATGTTGAAATTCTTGGTCGTCCGAGCTGTGGGGGGGGGAGGTGCTGAGTGGGAAACTGGCGCGTGACAGAGAGTGGGGAGACCTCAAGATAAGATAAGGGGGGGAGGGGTGGTGGTGGTGTGTGAAATAAACAAAAAAAAAAAGTGGGGTGGGGGGAAGCAATGTCGACAACACTTATGTCCAATCTCATATCTGGTCATGCTGTACGCACCTGCATTTGGCTTCATCAACTCCCAGTCGTCCTCCACGGCTTTGCTTGGAGGTGGTTCGTCGCCCGAGTCCCTCTCCCCCTTGCTGCCGACCCAGACGGTGCAGTATCCCAGGGTATTTTTCTTCTTCTGCTCCTCCTTTCTCTGACTAAGAGGTTTCTCGTTCTCCACTTTGGAGGCTTCTCTCTGAGCTTCTTCCAGCTTCTGTTGCGCTTCTTTTGCTGAATGCGCTTGGGCATCCTCGAGCTCCTGCTGTCTTTGCTTGTTGTCGTCTTTCGGCCATCCTATTGCGACAGGCCATCCCTGGATCTTCCGCTGCTTAGCATACCCCTCGGCGTAGCCAATCCAGTTTGCTGTTTGGATTTCTGCCGAGGAATCAAAGGCAATAAGGATGTCGATGTTCCGGCCTGGGCGGAGGAGCGGGTAGCATGCAAGGTTGTTGCTCATTCCCGCATCCTGCGTGGCATTTAGCAATTGCATAGGAGCACTTAACGATACGGAAGGGGAGTTCCAATGTTTAAGAGGCGACGCGCACGGATGCTGGGTGGGGGGACAAACCATCAACTTGATGCTTTCAGATTCATAGAGTGATTCCTAGTGCTTTGTTAGCAAATAAATAAATAAATCTATCCCCAGGGCCTATATATTTAGGTGTTGGAGTTACGGTACCGGGCACGTGGAAGGCAATGATTCCTTCAAGCCTTTTACAAAGTTAGGAATGCTGCAGGGATCGATTGGGTGAACCTTCGAGAGATCATTGTTACGGTCCAACACCATTTTATCCAATGATAAGAAGAGACTGACAGATGTTACAAATGGACGAATTTCGTGGTAGTAATGGCTCAAGGTAGCACAGAAGGCCGATCCGAAGATCCCAAACAGTAGCGGGAGTTTCGTTTCTGGCACCTCCCGGCTGACATTGACGCCATTCTCAAATCGCCTTCCTATTGCCCAAGTTGGGATGCCGGCTGTGTGTTAAGCTTCCGGGTTAGTAAGTAATTGCATGGAGGATCACTAAATTTACTCATACCTTCAAGCTCCTCACAATATAACTCGTAAGGGGTAGCCTCGAACCATTGGAACCAACTCTCGTGCTGTCTGCCTGCCTTCTCCTTGAGCTCTTCGGAAATTGGCTCTCCCTTCTCGTTTTCACCATCGATGAACGGAATCTCATGCCTGACGGCCGTATAAAGAGGCAAAGGCTGCTCTCCATTCTCCAGGAACCTCCTTTGGGCGCTCAGTTTCAGATCATTGTCATCAAGCGTCAACTCATTTGACGGAACCAAAAGCCTAGCGCCCAGAAGTAGCCCATACAGATCTACCAGACTAAATGGGGAGTAACCCGTCTTCAGGCGCTCCACCACTCCGCGTAGAAGGTACTTGTTCGTGGGCGTCGAAGTGACCAACTCGAGTGCTTTGGGCGGATAAGCGATATGCACGTTAATACGTGTCTTCAGATGCTCCATCACCCGATCGAAAGAGCATTTTCCCAAAGAGGTAAGGTAAAGAGCCTGTAGCCAGCAACTCCCAGAAACTCCCGCGGTATATGTCGTACAATCGTACAGGCCGGCCTCGGTCAAGGCCTGGTAATAGCCTGTTCCTGCAACCATAGCTCGTAAGCCACCACCGGACCCGGTAGTAGCGATAATTGGCACATCGTCATCGTGAATCTCCGACTCTGGAATGTCGAGATACTGGGCCAACCCCCGTTTTGTGAAGCCCTTCCGACTGGCCAGGTAGCGTTGCTCATCCTCACAAAGATCCTTCCCTAGCCTCACACGCGCGTCCTTCTCCACTTCTGGGTTGACCTTGGGATCCTGGGCTTCGCTCCAAATCTCATCCGCCAGCGATCCGGGTTCCATGTTGAGCTCTCGCTGAAGTTTGGTGATCCATTCTGGCAGCCCAGTAGCCCAGTCGGGGAAGACGTTTGTAAGGTTAGTGAGCTTTGGCCAGTCGATGGAGAGTATGGACTCCTTCGCTGCGAGAAGTTTGTCGGAGAATGTGAGCCACTGGGTGTCGGACGATGCATCCCTCTGATCGGGCCGCCCGTCCTCGCAAGCCCGCACGACGCTAATGCCCTTATTCCGCGGATCGTCCCCCGGTATAGGCTCCGGATCTTTTTTCGATGTCTGTTCCGCGACTAGTTGTCCAAGAGTTCCTTGCATCGCCGAGAAAATTCCCTTCTTTCCTTTGTCATTCCCGTTTGGCCTAGCCTTCTGTCCCCCCATCCCATCATCATCGTCCTTGTTAGGGTTTCCGCTGCTTCCAGCGGTGGTGTTTCCTAAAGCAGCCCTCCCGTAAAATATCCTCCGGCGAAGCTGTGTCTGGTAAAAGGCAACAACGGCTCCTGTTGTCACTAGCGCTCCAAGCCCGACTTTGGCTGAATTATACATTGTAGCTATCTTTTGCGAGGCAGCTGCGGTAAGGCTGCGGGACGAGATGGATCTTCGTCGGGGCAAACGAAAATGGGGGCGGCGGGGTTTACGGAAGGCGCCGAACGACCGACGGTGTCTTAATGAAGTTGATAAAGAAGGACGCATGTGGATGGAATTCTCCGAAGATACACGGAAGCATATTGAAGCTCGGATGGAGTGTGTCGTAATTTCTTTCCTTTTTCCCTCCCTTTAAGGGTTGTACTTGTACGTGTAGGTGTGCGGGCCAATCGCCCGTGTCCTAATGTTACCCTCAGAAGCAAAAATCAAACTATCATACCATACCGGTACTTTGCTCCGCCGTATGGGAATTAGAAAGTTGACTGTTGAGGCGGGGTGGAAATCCGTGGTGGGGGGCAGTTTTTCGATGGAGTTACTCTGGGTTGGCTATGGCTAGGGGACGGGGAGGTTTGGGGTTCAGCCTTCACGAACGTGCCATGCTGGGATGAAGACGATGACGGGAAGTTGAGGTTTTTGTGTGATCTGAGGCTTTACGAAGGTTCTCTAGCATATTCGTACCACTGGTATTGATCTTGAACGGAGTTATTGGACTCCCGGATGGGATATTTTTGCTCTCATACGATTGGACCGGAAGGGTATCATCGTAATGCGAGGGGAAAGGGACGAGAAAGAGGCATTGGGGGGCTATGATGTCACATATATTACGGCACTGGAAAGCATAGCATGATGGTGCCAATAAATTGCAGGTTAAAGGGGAGCTTAACTCCTCGTTCTCACTCGATAACCGCCATTTATCTTTTTCCCTTCGTTCGCCCCCATAAGAACCCATCTCCAGCCCTGGCGGTCAGTATCTGGTACTGGGACGAGGACAAGGGCATTGTACTCGAAAGCCCCCCTTTTGTGTGTGTGGCTACCACCGCGGAAATCAAACCTCCGGGTCATCGCCTCCAAACACAACACGCTTTCGCTCCTCCTTCTTTCCCTCCGACCCTTCACCAAAAAAAAGAAGCCCCCTCTTATCAACACAACATCTTTACTCTTACTACTTCTAGGTTTTTGCTACTACGACTGCTCACTTTTAATCTCTACTTTTGCGTAGATTCTCGGTCCGTTTGGCCATGACGGATAAGCTGCCAGCGAACCTTCTCGCGCTTTTCGCGCCCAGGCCTCCTCTCCGTTACCTCCCCCACTGCGACCATGCTCCCGACAAGCGTAGGACTGCACCTATTACCGGCGTCGCTGCTTACCTCGAAACCCTTCGTACCCCTGATCCTGACTATGTTCCGACTGAGAGTTGGATGCAGAGGCGGGATCGCTTGCGTGAGGAAAAGAAGGCTGCGATAGCGGAAAAGACGAAGGCTGCGCTTGGTCAATGTATGACGTTTCCTGTTCCTCCGTTGCTCCCTTTTTTATTTATTATGTTGTCCCAACCTTTTGTTCCTCGTTCCTGATTGGCTGAGTATATTGTCATAGATAATCCGGAACATGATCCTCAGGTCCGTGGTGATCCTTTCAAAACTCTCTTCTTGTCCAGGTTGAATTACAATGTTAAGGAGCCGGACCTTGAACGTGAGTTTGGCCGCTTTGGGCCCATTGAGAGAGTGAGTTATTGATATCTTCGGCATCGATCTTGGGAATGTTGATGCTGACCGTCCCTCCAGATCAGGATTGTGCGCGATAAAGAAACCGGTAAACACAGGGGGTATGCGTTCATTGTTTACGAACGAGAGAAGGATATGAAGGGTACTTTACATTACAAACCCCTCCCCCACCCCCCTCGGCCACTGTATTCCATTTTTTAAACCCCCCCCCCCTTCCCCCGGTTCCATGAAAACGGAATGGGTGTGACAGAATAATTGCGTCTCTCTGTCATTGTGCCTTGGTTTTTTTTTATTTTTATTTTTTATACTCACTATCACATATCTCCTCCGACCCCATACCCTTTTTATTTCGTCCGTCTTCTCTCCCCTGTGTTACCCCTTTGGTAGGGAAATCGGTCTAGAAGGAAAGTATGAATAGTAAACTGACAAGATTGTTTTGGATATTTTCCATTCTGACCGATACAGCGGCTTACAAAGAAACTGATGGAATTCGTATCAAGGACCGCCGCGTCCTCGTCGACGTTGAGCGTGGCCGCACTGTCAAGGGCTGGAAGCCAAGGCGTCTGGGAGGGGGTCTGGGTGGCAGGGGATATACCAAGATTCCTGTTGCGCGACCAACCGGTCCATCATTTTTTGGTCAGGACGGTCCACGGGGCCCAGGAGGCTTCGGTGGTAGAGGCGGCTTCAGGGGTGGGTACCAAGGAGGTGGGTTCCGCGGTGGCCGTGGTGGGGGAGGTTTTAGCGGTGGAAACAGGTTTGAAGTCGGGGGCGGCCGTGGGCCTCGCGGAGGTATTGGCTACCAAGGAGGTGATAGGGGTGGTAGGGGGCATGAGAACGGATATCATGGTGGCCATGGTGAGGCACCACCCAATGCGCCCACTGGGCCTGGCGGACGTAGAGGCGGAGGCGGTGGTGGGTATGGTGGAGGAGGATCTGGCGGTGGGTACGGCGGCGGTGGGGGGGGAGGGTATGGAGATGGTGGGCACCGTGGTAGTGGTGGAGGCGGTGGGTATGACCGTCACCGCAGTGGACATGACCGTGAAGGTGGAAGCGCTAGGGACAGGTTCGCAGACTCCGGAAGGTACAGCGGTCACGGTAGGGATGACAGACATGATGACGGCGGATATTCTCGAAAGCGTGCGTACGAGGGTGGGGAAGGAGGGTACGGTGGTAGCGGCGGCGGCGGCGGTGGCGGCGGAGGTGACCGCCACCGCAGAAGATACTAGAAGAAACCCCCCTTGAAAACCAAACACCCTCGCAAAAGGTATGTTAGGGGTAAATAGTGAAGACTCTGGCATTCGTACGGCCCGGCAGCCTCCTTCCCTCTTCAGAAATTAGTTTTCGACGGCAAAACCTGTAACTTCCTACTACTACTATTACTACCACTCCCGGATACGCCTTCCGGATGTGTCCCTCATTTTTTCCCCCTCGGCCTTTGCCTTACCAGATAGGTGGTAGACAATGAGGTTGAAAAAGAAAAAACACACCAAAACACTAGGCTTTTTTTCTTCTTGTTTTTTCCTTTTTTTCCCCTCACCCTTCATTTCTTTATTTCTTCACCCCCTTTCCCCTTGCTTCGGCGAGGGGAAGGGCATACTTGGTGAGTTAAGTTAGTCTTCTGCCCAAAAGTTATAAACGTATCGTATTATCACGTATTTCCGTTCTATACTCGGCATATGCCGACCCTTCTTTCTTTCCATTCTCCCCAAATATGAGGATTGTCTCCCTACCTACCGTACCATATCCTGGGGCACACACTTTATTCTCAATTTGTATTCCTAGTCTTTATCATATCCCCATTTTTCTTCTCTACGATATTCATTGTTATTACTTTTGACCTTGCCCCTGCTTCTTTTATTATTTGTGTTATGTTCTCTTGTGTTTTTCTTTGTCTTTGATGTTTTGTGCGTCTTCGTCTTGGTAAGGTAGGTGGTGTGTGTGTGTGTGTGTGTGTGTGTGGGGTGGTGGTGAACGTCTCTGTGCGCTGTTTTACATGTTGGATGATGTTGGGCTAGGTGATAAGTTAAGTATGGTATTGCTGTTAAAGAAAAAAAAAAAAGAACGGAATAAAAATAAAAACAAAACTCCTGTAGTTATAATATTGGGGTAGCGTTTGGTGAGGTATGGTTTTTTGTTCAATAGAAATTTATAGTTCTTATTTTTGTCTGTAGGTGGGGAGGCGAGTGAGTGTCTATGATCGTCATTGCCAACGTGATGTAGCGATGAGGTGATAGTCTCGCGATGGACGAAATGCTGCATTAGACGTAGAAATGACCGAACCTCCATTAGCAAATCGGAAGAAGCTTTGTAAGGGATGTTTCACTCATCATCACGTACTGTACTGTACTGTACAGTGTCATACCGGCAAATTTTCTACAATCCGAATGCCCCGCCCCTTCCGTCGGGACCATGGATATAACACAAAAGCAAATCCAGGGCATACCGTGCAACTCCTGACACATGGCAGGTATCATAGGTGCTCTGCTGAGTCTACTCTGCCCCACTCTGCGCCACACCACTCATTGACAAGCACACAGTACGAGTACGGCAGGCAAGTACTGTAGTCTAAGCAAGAACGAGTTGGCGGCTTGGGATTGCGCCTGCAGTTAGTTAGTTAGTTACCATACTCCCGGCTCTTTCGCTGCATGGCCCAAGCTTAAACGCCGTTTTTCGAAGCGGTTTTGGCGCACGGGGTGGTAGACGTGATGCTGTATTCCGTTGCAACTTTTGTATCGTGTGGTTGTGTACTTGTGCCGCCACTCTCCCTCGAACGGGATTTAAGTTATCGTATTGTCTGGTCGAGATATGGATTGATTGATTGATTGATTGATGGATGGATGGATGGGGGATATGAAATGTGGCTTTTAGAGGATGGTTCTACCCGCGAGTCCTTCCTTGGTTTTCGGGTTCGTGCTTGATGTTATCCCGGTGGTATATGTTCGTTTGTCCCCGCCCGGGGCCGTTTAGGATGTGTTACTGTATCATACGATGATCGCGTGGTCCCGTGGGTTTCTGTCTGGTTAAATATCTCTGTCTCCGCTTTTTTTCTGTTCTGTTTTGTGGCTACCTTTCGACGGCGTACGATGTATGATATGGTATCCCCTGGTGGCGGGTACCGTATCGTAATGAGGGGGACGGGGCGTGTGTGCAGCAGCGGTGGCGGCATTCTCCTAGCCTGTACTGTAATGAGATACGGGCACAGCCAGTGTGAGTGAGGAGAGGAGACGCATGAGTTAGGTAGTTCAACACCTTGGGCGTTCGATATGGTACTGCACGTCACGGCTTGTTCCTTGCATTCTGCAATGGTTATCCTACATCCAGAGAAAGTAAATTAACATTGGGGGTTTACGGTAGGCGCACCGGGTGAGGTGGGGAAAGAAAAAAAAGGGGGGGGAAAGATTTGTGTACGATGAATCCAATTCCTCTGTTACAAATGCTAGGAAGGAAGGGTTCGTGAAGGGTTTGCACAGTACTGTACACATCATATTATTATCAAGTTATTGGCTAATATAAATACGGCAGAATATCCGTCTGATACTGCACTAGGTACTGGCGCTGGTGGGGGGGGGGGTTCACTGATATATAAGGATCCCAAAGGCATTTATGATATGGCCTTAGTAATATATACTGTATCTCCAAGATACAGAACGGCGAGATCTGCATAGTGCCCAGAGGAGGACCTGAAAGGGTGGCATGAATGATTTCTTGTGAAACAGTTTCTAATGGTAAAACTGTTAAGGGCCTGTTTGGCGGGAACGGTAGGCGGGTCGACCGTTCCGTTCGTTGATGATTTTTGCTGGGGAAATGGTTGTCTTGGCATCTTCAGAACGGAAGGAAACGGTCATTTGTATGGGGGAACGGAACGGTTCCGTTCCCGCCAAACAGGCCCTAAGTTTTTGTCCAAGACTGGGCTTTCTGTACTATTAATGCGGGCTTGAACAAGTTTCATATTGTATGATACTTGTAATAACTCTTCGTGGCTGGCCTTTTTTTTTTTTTGAAAATACAGTGAGTTTGCAAGGCAATTCATGGCAATGGAGGGGGGAAGGGTCGAATGTGATTGACTACCCTCGCTGGCTAATTAGCCTAGCATAGTATCATACCGGAGGAAATTCTCTATCTCTTTCAAGATTTTCAATTGCAATCAAAATCAAAGGAAGAAGGAAAAAAAACAAAACAAGAATCTTGCTACACCGCTGATCGTGGACCTCACTGCTAAGTGTAGGTCTAGAGTTGGTTTCTACCACCTCATAGCAGGTCTAATTTGACCTACAAACCTATTAGGGCCTAAGGCCTTCAATCCCCCAGTTCCCATAGGGTAGGGGTTTTAATTCTCATGCTTTACACGACGGATTGTTCAATTATAACCCATAGTAATAGGAATCGAACTGGACTCTTGCTAATTGTAGGAAAGTTAATTGGTTCTTGACATATTAACCACTGCGCCAGCTAGGTATTTCGCATGATATTACAGCGGGAACGAATAGTTATTCTGCTGGTGGATGGATGGGTGGATGGATGGCTTTTTTTCGTCTGAGCCAAGGGTTAGTGGTTCATATTATTGCTAAATATTTGTGTTCTGGGAGCGAGTACGCTCTCGGGGGAAGGGGCGTTATGGACGTTGGCCTCTGTCTCTTATCGATGAGGATAAGATACCATTGTGTTTGGGGGAATAGCCGCCGCAGGAATATCAGTGGCGGAAGGAAGGAAGGAAGGAGGTTTGGGACGGACACGGCGCTGCACGTTGGTATGTTTATAACATTGGGGTACCACAACACTACTGAGTTACTAACTTCCATTCCTTAATGTTGGCCCCCATGGGTATTATAATATCGTACACACTGGTCTTGTAGCATTAGAGATGGGCCATATAGTATTGTTAGTGTTGGAAACTTAGATTGGGTAAAGTGGCCTTCAAGGGCTCGGGATTAAGCTGGTTGACAGGGTTTTCGGCCACCCCTAGTTTTCGGCCGACATTAACCACATCTTCCCGCAGACTTCTCCACAAGCATAACCCTCGCAACTATCATGCCAACACAATGAATACCCGCGAAACTGCCATCGAACAAGCACTCAGAGCAATAGAAAAAGGCGATTCTGAAAGGAAAGCAGCAAAAGACTTCGGAATTCCACGGTCTACTCTAAATAGCCGACGTACTGGTACCTCCAATACACATTCTGGTCACGCATATCAGCAGCGTCTTTCACCGGAGCAAGAGGAGGATTTATCGGATTGGATAATAGAACAGGAAGCTTGTGGCTATGCTCCCTCACATAAATGGCTTCGGGAAATAGCAATCCTGATTCTGAGGGCATCGGGAGAGATGGAGCCTCTCGGCAAACGATGGGTTCCCAACTTTCTCAAGCGCAACCCCCGTATTAGTACCCTGCTGGGGAAGCCAATTGAGTCATCCTGTATCCGTGGTACCCAGCCAGAGCAAATCCAGAAGTTCTTTGAGAACTTCGATGCGATATACCATCAGAAAAAAATACAACAGGAGGATGTCTGGAATATGGATGAACATGGGATTGGTCTTGGTGTTTGCAACAACTCGAGAGTACTAGGAGCGAGTGGAAAACGTTAAACATATATCCAATCACCTGAAAACCGTGAGTGGGTATCTATACTTGAGTGTATTAGTGCCTCCAGTCGCTCTATCCGTCCTCTTGTCATCTTCAAAGGCAAATCCGTTCAGACATCATGGTTTACCGATCGTGATATTCCAGATTGGCTAATTGCTACCTCATCTAAAGGCTGGACTGCAAACACTATTGCTCTCCGCTGGTTAAAGGAAATCTTTCTCCCAGAAACAGCTCGGAGTAATTCTGCTGGAAGGAGTATGCCACGTCTTCTCATCCTAGATGGACATGGTAGCCATGTCCATATCGAATTTATGTGGGAATGCAGACAAAATGATGTGTCTCTTCTCTTTCTTCCTGCTCATTCAAGTCATGTCCTCCAGCCTCTTGACCTGGGGACATTCTCTACACTTAAGTCACGTTATCGAAGAGAGATTGCGGATCTTGCCTCCTTGGACGATGCAGCACCAGTCAAAAAGCGGCGCTTTGTTGAGTGTTATCAGAAAGCACGAGCCGAGACCTTTACTCCTCGTCTACTAAGATCAGGATGGTCCGCCACCGGCCTCTATCCCTGGAACCCTTCCAAAGCCCTCAATTCCTCGCAAATCCATATCACAACTGACCCTCCGCCACCTACTACACCAAAGCGTACCAGATGCGAGTTGAACGAGAGTGATACAATATTTCCTACTCTCAAGCATCCACGGGACCTTCATTCAATGATGGGTGGGCTCGGCGATATAAGTCGCGACCAGCAGACGGTATTGCAAAAGGCTAGTAAGGCAATTGGCAAGCTTTCGACAGAGAAAGCATTGGTTCAAGCAAGTAACCGTCGACTCTTAGTACAGTTAGAGGAACTACAGAGTAAAAAGACTAAAAGGAAGGTGGCTGCGGACCCAAATACCCTTTTTGCCAATGCAGAAACTATTAAGAAAGCATTGGATGAGGCAGCCAGGGCTGAGCAGGCTTTGATAAAGAAACACCCTGCAGCAGAGGCAGAAGCACTGCAAACTTCCCGGGCACTTCAGAAAGCGAAAATGGAGTCCTGTATGTTCGAGTGGCAAATGTAAATATATTCAATTTTGTGTGGTTTGTTCTGTTTTCAGTTTTTATTGCTCCTGTGGGCTTAGTTTGAAAGTTGGGAGTTCATGATACCGGGCGCCGTTGTGATGGCCGAAAACTAGGGGTGGCCGAAAACCCTGTCAACCAGCTTAGTTTGTAATGATCACCAGCTTCTAGAGGAAGTGCAGTATCATAGGTTATAGTCATTGGTTTTTGCACAATACGGATTCACCGCACTTCAAGGGAGGGTAGATGAGATCGAACTTCCAAACCTCCTTGTGACACGTGCGGATGATGGGTGACTGTTTATGATTGTTCCAATATTTGCAAGCTCTGGTTTCAGTAATCGTATTCCCCCTTTCTCTTTCACTACTACTCCACAAACACTTCACATTTCCAAAACTCCCGAATGTGACACACCGTCATCATCCATGAGTAAATTATTCATCATCCTTCTAATCAACTTTTTTTTACCGTTAATCCCATAAAAACAGAATCTAGAGCATGTCTATCTACCTGACAACCCTGCAAAAGAAAGAAAGAAGAGCAACGCCCAAAGGTCAAGGGAAAAGGACATGAGAGGTAAAAAAGGAAAAGGGAAGGAAGGGAGGGAAAGCTCGGGCCCAGTAGTTTTAACCTTCCTAGTTTTAACCCCGGGCCACTCTTACAGCTTGGCTTTAGTCTCCAACTCGCTCTCCATCAACTCCCTCATGTCGTTCGCAGCATCAGTGAGGTAAAACTGCATCCTCTCGCACCCCTGCTTCTTCGAGACTATATTAAATTGTAGGTTGCTCTCGTTGATCATGTAGGCGATTCCGTACCCCTGGTCGATGACCTGACTCCACCCGTATCCGTTGAAGTACTCGCTGGACAGCTGAGAGGTTGAGAGGAACCAGCTGGAGGAGTAGCCATAGGCAGGATCAGCATAGATCCCGGGAAGAGCTGCATCGGGGTGGAGGAGCTTTTTCAGGCCAAAGAGGTGGCGATCTACGCCCTTGCCTTCTGATGCGGTGGTGATGTACGCGACGTGGGCGTTGAGCGCGGCGCGGAGGTTTGAAATGCAGGTTTTTGGGTCGGCATCGGGGTCCATCATCGACTTGCACCAGGCTACGCTTTCTTCGGAGACTGTGCGGCAGGTTTCTGTCCGGCCTTCTTGGAACCTGCGGGTAGCTGCGGATTCGTAGGTTGGGCGGTTCTTACCGTACCTGTTATAAGATTAGCTTACGCTTGTTTTTTCGGAGCGGAAGGAGGGGGAAATACATCTTGAAGTAAGCTAACTGGATAATCATTTGGACATAGGCGTCCGGCGAGCACTTGAACTTCTTGATCAAGCCCTTCCCGTAGCCTAAGTATGCCAAGACCTTCAACTCGTGAAGTCCAATAACATCTCTAAAGTTCTGCTGGGCATTATCAATGGCCCCGATGATATCCTCGCTAAGCTCGAAACTGATAGGCATAGGTTCCGGAATATTACTGCGGATATCACTGGCGGCGAAGTCAATCCTATTATTGAAGATTTGATCGTTGAGGTAATCATTGAGACGGTGGGTAGGGGTACCATCCATCATCGAGTGCTCACCCATGAATCCTGCGGTGCCGTTCTCGTTGATGATGAACTGGAGGGGCTTGTCGAAGAAGCGGTTTCGACCGTCCCCGTGCCAGTACTGGTGCGCACGCTCCTCGAGGGTAACTGGAGAAGTATCGTCCAAGCAGACGATGAAGGATGCAGACTCGATCAGTTGGAGAGCCTTTTTGTTTTCCGGAGAAGTTTCAATCATCATCCTGCGGACCTCGGTCCAGGTGTCGCGGTTCTCACTAGTGAGGGCACCGATGGCGGGGGTCTTCTCGGCGTTGGCCAACTCCAAAACCCTAGCAAACTGTGCTTCAAGCTCCCTGGTGCCGAGTTGGATTCCATCGACTTCGTGCAAGACCTTGTAGAACCTGTTCTTCCTGGCGACAACAAAGTGCTTGTTCGACTCATGATCGTACTTGACCGGGTAGTCGGCCGGCTTTTCCGGGATACGGCAGGCGTTGAACATCCACTTGTATGAGTCCATGCACATGGGCAACCCGCGCATATACTCGGGCTCCAGCCTCTTTTCATCGACCATCTTCTTGAATTTGAGAACCGAAGTGGTGATGGCAGCTGCGCGCTTTACCGGGCTCCTACGCTTCCTGTCATCCTTGTAGGAGTAAAAGTACGAAACGTAGGGAACGACGGGGTCGCGGTAGGCGAGGTAGGCGGCATCGTTCCACCAATCGGATAGCCAGTTGTTGACATGAGGGTTTTGGGCCTTTGCCAGAAGCTTATCCTGGAGCTGTTGGCCCACTCCGCCTTCTCGAATGAATTCCGCGACAGCTGTCTTGGTATTTTGCAGCTCTTGTTCCGTGAGGAGGGGCTTAAGGGACTTGAGGTATCGGTCGGCGGTTTCTTGCAGTGTCGGTACTGGAAGTTTTGGTAAAAACTTCTGAAATCGAAGCATAGGACCTGCGCTTGGATCTTCCTGGTAAGCTGTGTAGCGCGTTATCCCGTTAGCCGTTTCACCGGAATTGGTGACAGTAATTAAGCTCACCAGTAGGAGGGGTCATGTTTTGTCGTCTAGGACCGGCAGAGCTCAGCTTCGCAACGGTATTCACAACCTTCGCGGGCTGTTTTTGTCATAAAAAAGAGTGTCAGCGGGGCGGTCCTTAGAAAAAAACAGTTACTTTTTGTTTGTCGGTTCCGTCATATGTCAGTATTCGCTTACCTGGGGAACGGGACGGTGTCGAAGCGAGGCCGAGGTAACGGACCTGACATGAACACCTCGGCTAAACACGCTTGAAAACATCCGCGAATCGAGCAATTCTCGCGACAGAGTTGGTGAAGCAAGGAGAGGGACCGAAGCGGAGTTTAAACGCTTCAGGGTGTGACCTGGTGGAGAATTTCGGGTGAGGGAGAGGAAGTGGGGGAAGGTGGAGAGGTGGCGGAGGTGAATGAAGTGGATGATACTCGCGGAAGATAATGTCCATCTCTCACCCCGTGATCCACCTCCTTTCTTTGGCGGAGAGAGCATCATCACATGCACGGCGGCTTTCCCTTCATCTTCTGTATCACTCCCGCTTGCACTGCTACTTCCGCCTTCACCATTATCGATTACCCGGAAATCTGAAATCTCGGTTTCGGATGCTGCTCGGCCCCTCACTTCTCGAGCTGCTCCCTCGGTGTGCGCGTTAAGTTGTACAAATAGATTTGCTTCCATAAATGATGGTTTCGGGTTTGTGTCGTCTTTACGGAGGGATAGCAATGATGTGGTGACTTTATATCTTCCGGGATAAGATTTTTGAAAGATGAATAGATGTGTGAAGATTGATTGACATCGGACGCTTCGGTTCGGAAGGACGAGTGATGATATGTGAACAAACACCTTATAGCTGTGGGTATGGAATCCCTCTTATATCATCATTCATTAGGGGAAGGTCTGTTCTTCAAAGCATGTGTCTAGTATATCCGAAGACGGTAGTATCCGTCCTTCTAACTCCTACATTTTACTGTGATACCGAGCTGTGTTCGTCCGAATTCTAGAGGGATGTTGAACGGCTTGACCTTCCGTTTGGCATCAACGAAGTTCATCCCCCGTACACATGCTTCGGAGACTGGATATAGGCAAGGTGATAGTGGTTCTATACATCCATTATGCCACAAAATTGGCCTCTAGTTAGTATTATTTTATAGAGTCCCTGTTTAACTTGCGCAGTGGTCAAGAAATACAAAGAGGGATCGCAGCTGCTCATTTAAAATAGTTCAGTCTCAGCTCCGAACTCTAGATTGTTGGTGACTCCCCGCCGTGCAATTCATAGGGATAGCAATGTCCGCCTAACCAAGCTTGTTGGGCGATTCCAAAGCCGCCGTTCCCGAGGGCGCCCCCCCACTCGGGAGCTGGTAAGACTCACCAAAGGTATACCCTATGGGCGCATAGGGCATGCGGATTCCCCGCCTTCCGTGTATAGCAGCTCTATGCTGTGGCTAAGCCACTTTTCCACGGAATAACTCTTGATATTTCATGATTTTTTTTGGGGGCAGAGTCGCTGGACCACACCTTGATTGAATTTAGGAGGGAGGGGAATGTGCGTGTCTCATCCGTCCATGATACCCGTACAATAGACCCTGGCTATAGAACCATATATGTTTGAGAAACCTAGCCAAGTCGATTCAATTATCGCCATGCCCAGGTAAGCGCCAGTCAACTTGTCCTGCCCTTGTAGGGTCATCGCATGTAAGTAGTTAGGATAGCTTTAGTGGCCTTTATCCCGGCGATATCCACTACTGTAAAGCCGTGGCTACTACTTAATCTACTCGTACCACGGCACCCTCAAGTGGCCTAAATAAAACCTAGCCATTCCATATCATAGTGTTGTGCTTACAATCCCACCGAAATTCTGTTACGCAGTAAGCGTGACAGTCCCCAACGGCAAAACCTCCGCAAGGCCCTGCGTCAATTACCAGAGCGCGAACCCCACTGAGCCCCCGGAGGCCCTGTCGACTGTATGACCTCCTAGGAGTTTCGCCTTTGTGTAGCGTGGCAAGCCTAGCAGACAAATTGTCACTTCTTTTCGTCGTGGTTTGGGAATGTAGCCCTCCCCGAGACCACTCGCTCTTTTAACAAAGGGTAGTCGCCATAAACGTTCTAGGAATATTTTTGCCCAGAAGATGCACCCATAGGCTGGGGACACAAAGCGTGATTTGTCAGTACTAATACGGTGGGCAGGGTTCCCAATTATTGTGCGACGATGTCTTACCGGAAACTTGTTCCAATGAATAGTAAGGACTTGCAGGCTTGTGGTACAAGTGTTCGGAGGGCAGAGGGGCAACGGATACGGTACCCGTCGTGTTCTGAACCAAGCCAGACAAATGATGGTATGAAACCGTATCGCCGGTAGTGAATTTGGTTGTTGCGACCTCCGAGTAATCACCCAATTAGGTGGGATCAGGGTATTGTTGCTCCGCGGGAGGCTTCCGATACCACTGCAGTATTGGTGTCTGGGGTAGCTGTCAGGACCGGATATATGGAGTAACTTGCGGGGTCTGTTTTAGCAGTGGAATGGAAATAATGGATATTGAAGAATCAGGAGACAATGGCGAGAACTATTAAGGAGATATCCGGTTAATATCATGAACAGAGGGCTGCCTTACATAGGGTTGCTCTTAGATATGAGATGTCAACGGCGCCCCTGTCCAATGAGGGTTGGTATGATATAACTTATCCTATTCGCGGGAGCTCCGGGTAGGGCATGATGAGACTTTTCCTCTGAGGAACATTCACCGCCAATGGAGATAGTCAGAAAAATCCCTTTGGAATGTTTCTTAATCCCAACAGTCACGTTGTCCCCACAACTAGAGGTGTTTTGAGAACATATCAACCTTTCGTATCGTTCTGGTGTCACGGGATTTTTATGCAGTGTGAGCTTGGGAAAAAGGGGTCTCATAGCTGATGTTGCTGATGGCTTGCCTAACTTGAGCTCAGCCATCACGAGCACTGGAATGAAATGACACAGGGCGATTTAGGTTCCCCGCCGGAGATGTCTCCTCAGTTAAATAGGATAGCCTTGGCCCGGTCCTCATGTGGGGTGTCATGGGTTGTAATCCGGGCCTGTGGAAATACGTTGGGAGTTCGGAAGTGATAACTCAGCCCCACAAAGTCCGACGATCGAATATGTGGCACACTTATCACTCCACCCGTAGTAGAGCTGTAGGATACCGCGCTAACTAACGGCGGTAGAGTGTGGAGGGCGGTGTTGTTGGATAAGTTTTATCCTATGATACCAGTTATTCTAGGCCCATTCGCTTTTGTGTGTGGTGAAGAACCGAGGGTTGATGAATATGCTGGTGGTTGCGCTTGGGGACGACCTGAGTTGTGGCTGGGTTAACTGTTAAACCGACTGGGAAAGCAAACTGGGTACTGTTATGCCTTCAGCCCGCATATACCCTAGTAGTACGAGTATTATGAGATCCTGGGACGCTGTTAGTTTAGTGTGTGTGGGGAGACGCTCTAGCCCCCCGCCGTTATCGTTGGTGCTGATCTAGTTATTAATCTTGCAACCCCTTGGTAGAGTTTCTAAGTCCTGTATAATATTGAGACCAGCTTTATTCCATACTTGCCCATCCCTTTATTTCTCATAAGGATGGATCCCTGGGCTTCTAACTCTATTGAACTCTGCAGGCCTTTCAACACGGAATCTTTCGGGTAGATGGTTCAGGGGACGTCACCCGGATGGCACAGTAAATACCTGGAACTCCGGTGGGGTTTTCTTTTCCACTTGGCTCAGATGGGGACTTTGGCATTCCTTCACGTACTTCAGGTTCGGGAGACAACTGCGTAGTGCAGCTTTGCCGAGTACCAGATCATGACATGCCACTAGCCTTCATCTAAAGAGGCTCCCCTCATTAGTTTGTTCATGATAGTCTCATCTGCTATTTTGAGAGATATCCCGTATTCAACGCTAACTCTGCTGTGTTAGGATACTAACAGCCCTCCTCAAGACCTTGAGGATATTCTAATTCAGTTAGATATAAATAGAGCTTGTCTGAAATTATCCTGTAAAGTGATAAAAAAGTAAATACTCATGCCAAAGTTGTGGTATGGGCACCACAACCCTCTAAAAGCTTGCAAGCTCACTTTTAGGAGGCACTCATGTGGAGGACATGACAGTTCAATGTCGCTTTGTAGCTCACCATTACTTTGTCGCTCAATATCATACGAGTATTGTGGCTTAACATAATTTTACATTTTACTGCAACTTTGTAGTTAAATACATACTCATTTTTTTTACTCTATTAAAAATACTCTTAGAATTCATAAAAGAAAAATATCTAAAGTAAAAATTTAATACATTAATTAATAAAGTAAGGTTGTGGAACCATATGCGTGTTGATACAGAAGAGTTGGACAGATACCATACCTTAAACCTTGTTTTGTATAAAGCGGTTTCACCCTCAGCGAGATTTGTACGAATGAGCAAATGCCAAGTGTTCCTTCATTGCAGATCGGCCACTACTAACCTACATGAGAGAAAGCGCTCCGCTCTTCCTCTACTCAACACTACAACCTTACTAACCAAAAATCATTCCTTTCACTCTGGTCTTAACCAGGCGAGAATATAACTGTACAGTACATTATGAATCTACACTCAGTTGTCCACAGAGATGTCATTTAACTCCCAGGGTATATGCGATAGTAGTGAAAACAACACACCACACGAGTAACCATGTAGGTACAGCGGCAGTTTAGTCATATACTCGTGTTCCGTTCAATCCATGCTAATGTATACACATGCCCGAAAAGCTCCCCAAATTATAGCAATCATGCTCAATCACTCGGAAGTTTACAGATATCTGTGTTGTGCGTTGCATGTTACTTGATGTTGTTTTAAGCCAGCTAGTTGCAGGTTACATGCAACATGGTAGGGTTTCATGCTGGCTAGTCTCTTGTTCCTTGTCACCGGTTTAGGAGGACGCGTGTCTACTGTTCGCTCTGACTGAGTGACGAAAAGCTTTCTCTGCTCTCTTCCCAGATGGGCGGCTACATAAGGGGCAGTTGTCATCGTTGCTTCCATTACATAGATCAATCAACGAACCTTCCGCTGCTGAAAAACCATTGATACTCTCGAAATTCTCACAATCTACAGTCCGGCCAGGCCGGGGGCCAGATGAGCCCCGGAAGCCCAGGCCGGCCCGGTCATGAGCAAAACTAGCCCCGCTTGCGAACGCTGGTCCAAGTACTTTTAGTAATGATAGAAAAGGTATTTTTTTTCTTTTAACAGTATGTCAACGAGAGGTACTATGGCTGCTTTCATGTGCTTGGGTTGCAGATGACTAGAGTTCCACATGGCTTGGATGTTACAATTCTGGCACTGTTGGAGGCCGAGGGCAAGCCGAGGAACGACAAACTGTGGAGACGCGTAACTTATGTTTACATGTTTGGAGTTGCCCCTCCAACAGGCAGGTACGTAACCATACAGGAGGTGCTCTAGGCACATTAACTGATCAGAATCGCATTTTCTACTTCTCGCAACCCTCAACTGCTAGTGAACGAGTATGCTGACAATTCTCCGTTCAGCCTCTTCATATTTTTATCACATCAATTCCGTCGATGCATACTTTCTGCCTCCACTGGCCACTCGCATCCATCATCGAAACTTCTATATTCCATTATTTTATGCCTTCAGGCATTTCCGGTTGGTTCGAACAACTTGTAGAGTTTCAAAGTATCCTGATATCTACAAATTTGTATATGGGGAAGAGGAATGGTTGGTATCAGAGGTCCTGGACACTAAGTTGGTATGAGGTCAGTCGAGGTACCTGATCTGATGGAGCGGCTATGAAGAAGCCACTTGGAAGCCGGCGGAGTTAGTAAACGGTCTTCAAGCAATTGGAAAGTTCCATCAACAGTATCCCAACAAGTCTGACCCCTTCAAGTTGCTGGAATGAATAGCCTCAAAGGACCTCCGCAACGGGAGGGGCTTAGTGTTATGGCCACCTAGGAACAACGGAACAGAGAAAGAACCTCTAGTAGGGGATGGTAGATGGTGGCTAAAGGCATTCCTTTAGGCCCGGTGGGGTCTCTGGCGGTTAGAATAGAAGGGGTCAGACATCATTTTTGCAGACCAAGAAACGGTGGCCCTGAAAGGAATAAAGAGTTCACCGTTTCTGGCGAAGGGCAGTCGCGACCGCTTCTGCCAAACCCCACTTACCAGCATCCTTCAGGAGTAGCTAACACAGCTGTTCTTGTTTGTTGGTGTGCTCTATTTCCCCACAGAATGTACCTTTTCATCACTTTAGGGTATAATACTGCGCATATATCATACCTTCAATATCTCTATAAATACGAGCCGATACTATTCCCTATGGTTTGTATCGCATATATAGGGGTAGGGTTTCGAAATAAGCGCGTGGGCATTTCAATAGGATCCAGATCCCTGCTTTGGTATCCAAGATAAAATTGCCTTATATCATACGCGGCTTGATAGCCCAGTTATATAGTCAGAGGGTCTTACCCTCTAAACCAGAAGCACCAATACACCAAGGTAGGATATGAGAGCGTGTGAACCCTTGCCTTTCTCTATGCACATTCCATACTCCAAGTATGCTTGCCTGAGCCTGGGAAGGCTTCTGGTGCTTGGGATATTCCAGACACTTTTTTTTACCGATTAATGAAATACACTATTTCACTTTGCTCAAATTGAGCCTGTGCCTTTTCCACGCTGCGATGTGACAAAAATTCTCCTGGCGAGCAGGCTACAGGCATCGGGAAAATGTTGCTAGAAGCCTCAGAATAAAGGGGGGAGAGGGGGGGGCTTCCGGTGGATATAAATATCGAGCGCCTTCCCGGTTTAATTGGAGACGTTAAGTCGATCAAACATCTTCAGTATTTTTCCTCTATGGTCCGCCGTTCGGCGTGTGCACCGTGCCTCGGCGATGTTCGTATAAGGGTTCTTTCTCCTCTCAAATGCTTCTTTCAGATCTCTATCTCCTTTCAAGTCTGGCCCCACTTAGGACCAGCATATGTTGTTCCTTTTGTTGTTTCTGAATGGTTTCTTTGAGGATCTTTGTTTCTCTGAATTCTTTACTGCGACTGTTGAGGAATCTAGGTGGTGATAGCGGAGTAGAGATGCTTCAGTATATAGTTGAACCGTATTCTCCTTGTGGTTCGAATAGTATCAGTTCTCTCTCTATTTCTAAGACAATCTTTAGCTATTCTCTATTCTTACTTCTCCATCCAAAGCAATCCAATATTGCAACCGGGGAGTTGGTACTTTTCTCGAGTGATACCTCATGCCGCTGCTGGGCCGTGATTAAGTTTCAGAATCGAACCGGGTAACTATCACTGACCTTCACGTGACCCAGCTGGGAGCCGAACGACCCAGACCTTCAAGTGGCGGTTTTGTTTGACGGGCAAACTTTCCCCTCCCATTTGCAATATGATACAACCCTTGAGAGAAAATTTCTTCACCTGCAGAGCGTAGAAGATTACAACAACCGACATGATGGCAGTTATAAATCAACTCGTAAGTCTATCTATTTATTTACTGTAATGTACTGTACAGGGATATATGCACTGACAGGCTGTTCAGGCGATTCCAGCATTAGGATGGGTTGACATCTGCTCGTACCGCCTGCGATTGCCTATGATATCTATTCGGCTGCTGGTGAGCCTAGAAAGAGAAAAAAGGGGGGGGGTTTTCTTTTTTGCTGTCAGCAGGACACGATCCGCCCTCCACCGTACTTGACCTCACTTGGGGTGCCCGAAGTGATGTTCCTTGGCTATCAACCGATATCCTACCTTGGTCGGGGAAATTGACCTATGGGGTTGGGTTTTCTCGCTGCAAAGCGAGCCCTCTCGAGTCGCGGTCATCCCCTGCACGGGCTGGGTCGTTGCCATCTCGCATGCGGAATGTGTAAGACCTATGGGAGGCCCTTTAACTCCGGTGGCACAAAGTTCCGAATGACACTCAGATGCAATCCTAGGGTTGAATGGATTTTGGGATATGTTTACCAGCCGGGAAGTTGGTTATTTTTGGCCGGCTGTGTTGGTGAATTTTTCTGAACAAACCATTGGCAATACCGATGGCGTTATCCCTTGTTATGGTGCGGGGGTGAAAAGACGGGAGACGGGACGGATGCGTATGCATCGGACTGCCTTCACGACCGTTAGGGTCTGAACTGAAACAATGATCTTAAAATTTCTGCCTGGGGCTGCAAATAATTGGGAGTAGTAGTTATGATTTGTTGAACCGGCGGGGTTCGGAAAGCTGCTGCGACTCCAGTTTGGGAGCATCTTACCCCGCCCATGGGCTCCTACTCCTGCGGTGACTATGGACAGAAAGAAGACACAGACCAGTGCAACCATGGACAAAAGAAGAAGAAAAAGAAAGACCCGAAATAGGTACAAGAAGCAGAAAACACCGTAAAAGCAACCAGCCCCCAATATACCAAAGTTGAAACAACTGGTTAGAGTACACTCCATGAAAATGCTGCCAACAGACCTACTCCGCTAATGAAAGACAACAGACGGGAAATATGAAAGGAATATATGTGAAGTCATTCGACGACGTCAACCTCTTTCTGCTCCTCTTCGCCCAAGATTATGGCGTCGCGGTATCGTTGTCCGAGGGCCATTCGGCCGTTCCAGCTGAATGGATCGAACTTCACATATTTCTCGGTATCTTTCACAAGTCGTTTGATGTCCTTGATCTCATCGCCGATCCCACCGACAAGCTTCTCGACAACACCGTCCATCAGGGCTGTTAGCCTATTTTCGAAGGCATCTTGTGCATCCTGACTGTTTGAGGGATTAGCCTATTATCCCATGCAATAGAGCTGGTTTGGGCTTTAACTGTACCTCTCGCTGTCGTCCACCCGTACTCGGATGCTCTTCGAATTGTCGACAATCACCTCCGATTGCTCCAGAAGTGTGCTTATGCCCTCATCCATTCGCCCAACTATATTTATAGACCGTTAGCACCATTTCCCGCGGATTGGCTGGGTGTAAAACCTACCACGCTGCTCGAGCAAGCTCATCCGGTCGAGGATTTGCTCTTGTCGTTCCGCCAGATCCTTCATTGTGCTCTGCATCTTTGTCATGGCGGTGAGGATGTGTCGCATAACCTTGGTGTCCGCATTGCATCGGTCGGGGCTAGTGGGTGGTGTTTGCGGAAGTGAATGTGGGTTATGCATGACGGGGCTTGGTGGGAGGTGAGAGTGAGCGAGCATTGGGCTCACGCTTGGGGGCGTCGGGTTGCCCATAGGGCCGAGGTGAGCGTATGCCATATTTGTTGCGTATGGTGATGGATACGAGGGCGGTCCAGATTTTGCTACTCCAGGGAGTTCCATTTGTGGCATTGACATTCCGGGCATTGGGTGCACACTCTGTGGTGGTGCACAGTAGTTGTTGTGTGGATATATGTAGTCTGTGGGATAGGAAACAAAGGAATAGCTAGTAGTGCTTGGAGGTGTTGGTGCGTGGGTCGGCATCACTCCTGTTATATAACGTCTGGCCAGTGTTTACGATGGTTGAGAAGCTTTATCCAGCAACTCCTGGTGTGGTAAAATTTGGGATCTTTTGGCTCAAGGCGAACTAAGAAGTTGATTCGCCAACCGAGAAAAGAGAAATGGATTGCAGTCGGTTCCTGCCGACGAAGATTCACGAAGATTCGAGGCTTCAAGTGCAAGCAGAGGAAAACCTCGATCGGGGGCGATGATTTGTGATGCGAGGATTTGGTTGAGCTATTGATCGTGGGTATCGGGGGTTGACTTGATCGGGGACTTATGTTGCAGGTTGTTTCAGGTTGTGTGAGGTCTGACAGCACCAGAGCAAGGGCGAGCAAGAGTTTTTCTTATTTCGCTGAGCTGGTCGTAAGGTTGGCGTGGTATGAATGGGAAAACCGACTTCGGACGAGAGTTGCCGTGGGTTTTCTTATATCCTACCTAGGTTTCCGGAGGCAAGTAATTGAGCTGGTACAGTAGGGCCTGCACAGCTCAGCAGGAAGTGCCGCCCCATTGGTTTATATGCAGTTCAATCGGGAATGACCACGACTTGGGGAAGGATTGGTTAGGCTCGCGTCCAGAGTGTCAAGGGTGTTTCTTAGGTGGGTGAGGACCAAGATGGTGTGGCCTGTGGCAGTTCAGAGGTGCAGCCAGGGATAAGAACTGAGCAAAACGAAAGACTATCGTGAAAGCAGCGAATTACAAAACACGCACCCCGGAGAAGGGCATGCAGTGCCAACCGAGCTACAGCAACCTTGCAACTTCGACGGGAGACGCACGGCACAACGCTGAAGATAGAGCATTTCTCCTCATAGGCCAATGTTCGAGTACTCGAGTATATGTATCTCCTAGGTCACGTTCTGAAACGGGAAAGAGGAGCATTTACAAAGTTGTTGTATTTTAAGTACCGGTACTTGCAAGAGACGGCGGAACGGTTCTTATCAATGGGGTGCGACTTACGGTCTACGAGTAATACAAGGGAGTTGCGGCTCTTTGTGACGCACGGGCCGCCCCCGCCCCCCACGCCTGGCATTCTCTTGTCCTCTGAAGGCTTGTGGAACTCCAACAATCTACCGTACTCGAGTAAGCTTCGCAAAGTTAATGCCCGGGTACGCTTTGGTGATCTTCTCCTGGAGGAGTTTTACGCGGTTAGAACTTGGGGGAAAGAGAGCAGATGCTTGAACTTGATTCTGGCGCTCCTTCGTGCATACACTCCGTCACGATTTTGTCATGTCTCTCCGCCGCGTGTTGTACGGTATTTGTACAGCATGGCGGGCCCGGATCCAAGCAATCAGAATGAAGTCTCGAATGTTTTTTCACCTCTACGAGTACCGACTGGAGCGAAAAAATCTGGGCTTGAGTGTTAGCAATGATCTATCACACGCTGGGCAGCTCGAGAGAAGCACGAGGGAGCCACAACATGGTGGCGAAATCGATTGGATTGGATTCCTAAATCTTCACATTTGGAGGTATTGGGTCTGTTGGATGAGAAATCTTTTTCCTCTCAGCCAAAAAAAAAACATAAGGGCCAATCAAGCTAAAGGGCTAGCTCATTGGGCCATGGACTAGCGTTCGGAGGCGGAAGAAAGGGACTGGTTTTAACCACCTCTAAAACTAAACTGCAGCTTCCGAGAATCGGCGGCGCTTCGAGGGTTTCCTTGCTGTAAGAGGATCCAAGAATTTACCCTTCACCTATCAGGTTCGGCAGCAAACCGAAAAAGCAAAAATTCTCCCCGCAGACACTCGAGTACAAGAAATACAAGAGAGAACCATGCCACCGCATCATTTGGCTACGGTGTTGCTGGTGAATAAGTCAAAACACCAAGCCTAACGCCATATCCTGTGAGCCCCACACTGACCGCTGGTGTCGGCTTGCCCTAACCAGCCTCTCACGCATGCCTTTCCAATACGGTACCCTGGTGGACATGGTCCTTAGGTGGAAAAAACAAAAAACTGGAAAAAAAAGACACTATGCTAAACATGCTGGAGTTGGTAAAAACGCCGGTGAACTTACCATGCAGCGCCTACTCAGCAACAGCCTGCGGCGTGTCCCGGGTAGCTTCGCAAAAGTTAAAGCGTAACATCCCACGAAGATGCCCATACTGGAGTGCCTGTCAGATATCTGCCGTATCATGCTCTCCACTTTGTGCTGATCTGCGCTCGAGTACTGTATTTTGAGGAGTTCCAATTCCGGATCTCGCCCCGCACACACCAGAGGGAGTCGGACAGGTTCGAGCCTTTCTTTTGTCCCACCGAGCATTCCATCCATCCATCCATCCACTTCGCTCGCTTTTTTCCCCATCCAACAATTCTGCCTCTCAAAGGGTGGAAATTTCTGCCTCACTGATTGTACGCCCTACAGAAGGGCAAAGGTAAGAGACGCTTTCCGGACACCTATCCTTTAACTCGATTCATTGGCCTTGCCGTTTGACATCAACCAGATAAGGTAGTTTTACTCTAGCCCATGAGAACCGGCCTGACGAAATGCTTCAGAGCCATGTCATCGTGGTAATCGTTATTCTTTTATTAGGAGTGTCGGGACTGGTGGTTTGGGCGATTTTCGTGCTTCGATACATGACGGCGACTGCAGTGGTCAGTGAGGAAGAATAAAGCATGTGTTTATTTCATCGAGCTGAGTGAGCGACATCGTATGTCTGGGGAGGAGTTCTATGGATGGCATGTTGGTACGACACATGTAAAACGGCATGATATTCCGACTATGGGGGGGGGGGTCTCTACTAGGTTGGGGTACACGGTGGAGGAATTGTTTGTGATAAGCTAGAATTTGCGGCTTTCTGTTCGCCGGTGTACCGTTCCCGTGTACGAGTACTGTACCGCATAGTCTACCGTGATACTATCGTACGGGTACCAGTTGCTCAAGTTGCCGCTTTGGCCGCGGTCCGTTCTTGCCCTCCACTCGGTGGTCCGGAGGCTCGGAAGAGGAAACCGTGCAGAGCAAGAACAAGAATATTATTGGAACAAGAACAAGTCACCTGCATCCCGAGGACTGTACAAGCAGAAGACCGATAATCCTGCGCATAATGCGCAGTGCGTTTATTTTTTTCTTTTCTTCATTCCCCCACAACATGTGCCAAAGCGAGAAAAAGCCAATCATTCAATCCCCCATCGCCAGTCCTCCCTCGCTCTCGCTCTCACCCCCTTCGAAATTTCACCACTGCAACAAGATAAGTTACCGGTAGATCGTTTTCGTTACTCGGTAAAGAAGGAGGCCAAGTCACGGCGCTGTCCTGTCCTGTCCTGTCCTGTACAAGTACTGTACTGTACGAGTAGAGCGAGAACGGAAGCGGAGAAATGTAAGCCAGGACCGGTTTTCAATTGTTCTTTTCCTCTCCCTTTTTTTTCTTTTTCCTTTTACCCTTTTTCCCTGCTAAGATCAAACAGTTCCTCGTAATCGATAGGGGGGGGGTTGTACTCGTACTCCGTAGGAATCGATAGGTAACGGGGAACGGAGATTCAAAACTTTTTTTTAAACTTTTTTTTTTTTACTTTATCGTACAGCACATAAGTTCCCTTAATTTCTGGGCACGTTACATCTTTTTTTTTTCTTTTTTTTTTCTTCCCTTTTTTACCCTTTTCTTATTATGGTCGATTGTATTTGTACTCGTACTTGTACCACCGTAGTACTGTAAAAATATTCTCCTACCGGTAAGTTAGGGGTACCGGTAGACATGGTGCGACACCCCCCCCCCCCACTGCGGCGGATCTTGAGTGCCTGTAGGATCCAGAACGCCTACGGTGGTTCTGTGTCCGGATTGTATCGATGCTCGAGCGGCTCTGACGTTAGGCGCTCAAGTCGACATGATACTGTAGTAAAGTAGAAGGAGAGAACTCGTTTCGTTGAGATAACTGTACGGTACGGTAAGCAATTTTGCATCTCTCTATAAATGCTGGAACCAGATTTATATACCTTAATAATGAAGTCGACGCTTGGTAGCTAATCTTTTCTTAAAAAAAAAGTTACAAGTTCAGTACCGGAGTCTGACCAGCATGCCTTGCGAGGGGTACGATACGATACGAACACTGCACCATTGTGGTCCACCCCAACCCAACCCAGTATGATATAATATTATTATACAATACTTCGTATGTAGATGATCACCAAAGGCTTTTTCCTTTTTCTCCTTTCTTTCTTTCTGACTATCCGCTTCCACTTCCCCGCGCGTGGACTTGACTGAATGAATTTTTGAAGATGAAGATGAAGGTGAAGATGGATTGGGAGATCCCCCTTATTCGGGCCCCGTTTCCGCGAAACTATCATACCCGGGGTGTTATTATATAATACGGTATGATTCTCGTATACGGGAATGATAGGTATAGAAAATGGCGAACCATACATTCGCAAAAGCCCCGTACCGTGTTGAGAATCCCGGTCCCCCCCCTCTCCTTTTTTCGGCATTCCTATCTATAATACCCATGGGTAAGGATTGTTCGCCAGCGCATAAGTTGGTATCTATCCGTACTAGTACAAGTATCATACTAATTATTACGGTATACAGTACGGTACAATGTGCGACCTTCCCCATTGCGGTTTCTTTCAACCTTGAGGGGGGGAGGAGGTATATAATATATATATACAGCGCTATAGGAGTGGTCTAACGTGGGGATTATATCATACTTTGGCATCAGTGGCCCCCCCGCACTGGTATAGTTATGGGTATGTTCATACCAGTACCGGGTACTTTGACCGTTACTCCGAAGGTTCCCGAGGTGCTGAAAGGCGTTCACAAAAGAACTAATAAGTACATTTCTAAGTTGGCTAGACCAGATTCTAAACACTTGACTTGTTTCATTCACCGCCTTACAATATATAAGTAAAACAAATACGGCCCGCGCATCCCGTGCTACGGCACGGCACCACGCCGTGCCTACTGCCCACGAGGTTTCCAAACTTGGGTTCACCTTATAATAATAATAGTAGCTCTCCGAGAAATATTGCAACCATCAACTTACTCCCCGTATGATATCGGATCAACCACACACGGGGGTTTCGGGAAAATGGGCCGTATGATACTTACCCCCCCCCCCCGACCGCGTTGCCTTTTTTGGTTTTTTTGCCCTTTCTATGTGTGGCATGCTGCTCTATGATACCATTCATACTATCGTAATTCGTTGGGGCTGATTATTTTCTTCTTACCCTTATCACCACCGCGGGTTTCCCTCGGGAAAGCCTCATATTGTCAATTATAGCTTGTGGGGATTAGGCCTTGCGCAATGGATGGGTGGATGGACGGATGGATGGATGGATGGATGGGATGGGATGGCGCATAGCACCTGAGCTCGTGCGCGAGGCGATGGTGGTAGCGGTGGTGGTGGTGGCGATGTACCGTGCAGTACTCGAGTACCGTATGCTGGTTCACGGCTGAGACAGTTCTTGTTGTTCGTGGCCATACAAAGGGCGAGCCTTGAGGGAATGAGGGAGTGAGGAGAGAATGGGGGAAACAGTGGGATCGACGGTTAGTGCCGGATGGGTGATGCTGAGCAGGCGGGTTTGAAACTCGTTCTCCGGTTGGAAGGATGGAAGGATGGATGGAAGGGGGGTGAGGGTGGGGGTATGCTTTTTGTTTGGTGGTGAGGCTTTTGGATTGTTCATGTGATGGTGTGTAGTGTACGAGTACAAGGACTTGTGTTTGGTATTAT